GGCCCATTTTTTTTTTTTTTTTTTTTTTTTTTAATTTAAAAGACCTCCCTTCTCCGGAAGTTGATCCCACAGATAACCATTCTGGGGCTTATCAACTCTCCGGTCAGGAAATCCTCCCTTGCCCCAAACCTGTATGTAGCAAGAGGGATTATTTAGATTTAAGCCCATTTCCTCTTGTTTTGGCCCTTGTCGATGAAACAGCTGTTCATAAAGCCGGGCAAGGGCGATTGGTGTCTGCTCCGTTGCTGAGATCCAGGAAGGCTGGTGCCATGGTAATTTTTTTTCTTCCTACCCACGTCGGAGAACCTCTGCAAATGCAGAGCTGGAGTCGGTGGGTGGGTGACAGGCATCCTTACAGGCCCCGGGCACAGCTGCCTCAGTGCTCAGGGAAGCCCACGGTGGCCATTCCCTCCGGAAGGAGTCTCTTCTGCACATCTTCCGTTGTGTGTCTTTTTTCCAAACAGAACTTTTGTCCATAAAGCAGTCCTGGAGTCCCCAGCAACCTTCCAGCCCTCAGATGCAGTCTTGGCTGAATGTAGGCTCTGGAAAAGTCTCTATAGCCTTATCGCTAGGCCCACAGCGCCGCCCAGTGGCAAATACAGACCCAACCAGCCCCCAGCTTCCCAGCTTCTCTCCTTAGTCTGTCTTTCTGATGTCCTGCTGGCTTAGGGACCCCATTAACCTAAACTTCTTTCTTCTTTACAGGTGGCTACGAGAGGTTTTCCTCCGAGTACCCAGAATTCTGTTCCAAAACCAAGGCCCTGGCAGCCATCCCACCCCCGGTACCCCCCAGCACCATGGAGTCCCTGGACCTGGGCTGCAGCTCGTGTGGGACCCCACTGCACGACCAGGTAGCCTGGGGACACAGAGCCTGGGAGTGAGGGGCTGGGGCAGTATAGAGACACACTTTCTAGAGTTCTGATTTTTTTTTTTAAGGGCTTCGAATGCAACTTCTCAATTTGGGGAGAATGTGGGGGAACACTGAGTATTGGGGTGGGGTGTTAGGTAGTGTGCATTTATTCCTTGGAATTCCTACCCTCCCCTCTCATCACCCTCACTTAAGAAAAACATAAAGATGCTTCGTCCTGGCTTAGCCTCTAGAATTGTGTGCGGACAAGTGAGGAGGCTTGCTGGAAGACACGCGTGACCTGCTGTATAAGAAGCTGAGAGGACACCCCTCTTTGAGGGAGTGGGCCATGGAACGTATCCCCAGTCCCCAGTAACCAGGCTGTCCCCCATGTAGCAGCCAATTGTAAATGCCAATAGGACATAAGTGGCCAACCACCCTCCCTCTAAGGAGACGGGCTCAAGTCGCTGCGTTTCTCACGAGCCCACCCCTCCAGCCCTTTTAGTTAGAAGGGCAGGCAGTGAAGTTACTGGATCCAGCAACTCTGCCCCCCAAATCCCTTGTGATAAGTTTAAGACACTATTGCCTCATTTTGCCAGGATACCTCCTCTTGACCAGGAGGCCAAAGTGCATCTGTACCTGAACCACACAACAGCTAGCTCGCCAGTTAGCAGGTGGAGGCTCTTGATGGTGTGGCAGGGCCAGCCTTGTGCCTGCCGCTGCATTTGTCATGGGGGAGGGGCTGCTTCAGCCAGCAGGGGGCCCACGAGGCTTTACCTGGCCCGGCCTCTCTGCCCACGAGCAGAGCGTGAAGGCCCATGGGGCCCATCCACCCCCTCCAGGAGCTCCAAGAGGATAAGGGGGAATGGTAGGGCTGTGTCCAGCAGGCATCTCCCCAGGACCTGGGAAGCCCACCTCCGACAGACTTCTCCCCAGCCCCGCCGCCTCAGCCCTTCTCCTGGTTGCCTTCCACTCATGGTGGGGGGCCTTTGTTTCCCATCTCTGGTGCAGGGGGGTCCTGTGGAGATCCTTCCCTTCCTCTACCTCGGCAGTGCCTACCATGCTGCCCGGAGAGACATGCTGGATGCCCTGGGGATCACGGCCCTGCTGAATGTCTCCTCGGACTGCCCCAACCACTTTGAAGGGCACTATCAGTACAAGTGCATCCCAGTGGAAGACAACCACAAGGCCGACATCAGCTCCTGGTTCATGGAAGCCATCGAGTACATCGGTAGGCTGGCCCTGGCCTCGGTGGGGGAGGATGACAGGGAGCCGCTTGTCACCTGCATGTGGGCGGTGGGACTTAGGCATCGTCTGCAGGGTGTCCCCAGCTCCCCTCTTCCTCAGTAGGAAGGCTTGCCCGTTGGGTGTTGTGGTGGGTGGGAATGGGAAGATGAGCTCCTGCACACGTGCTTAGAGAGCCGCACGCCGCCTCCTTGCCTGGGTCCAGACGTCTAGATGGTGAGGACTCTTGGATGCGGAGGAAGACAGGGAGAGTTGGGCCATTGTTTTATTTCTGCAGATGGAAATTCTTGGTTCTGCAGATGGAAATCCTTGAAGGTATGAGGATTTAGATGGCCAGCATGCGCCTTTCCCAAGCACATGTAGTGCTTTTGTCTGGTCAGGTCTCAGTTCACCCTAGCATGGGTGGAATTCTAGGGTCCTTCCCACGTGGGGTTTCCTTCCCTCTTCCTCCCCAGTCTAGCATGGCTCTTCCTCCAGTGCGAGTGCCCTGTCCTCCAACACTGTCAAGTTGTCCCCCCCCAGCCTCACATCCTGACTTTTGCCACATGCACCTGCCACTTGGTGCAGGGCGAGGACCGCGCGGCACTAACGCTGCCTGTTCTGTGCCCCAGATGCAGTGAAGGACTGCCGCGGGCGCGTGCTGGTGCACTGCCAGGCGGGCATCTCGCGCTCGGCCACCATCTGCCTGGCCTACCTGATGATGAAGAAGCGGGTGAGGCTGGAGGAGGCCTTTGAGTTCGTCAAGCAGCGCCGGAGCATCATCTCTCCCAACTTCAGCTTCATGGGGCAGCTGCTGCAGTTCGAGTCCCAGGTGCTGGCCACGTCCTGTGCTGCAGAGGCCACCAGCCCGTCGGGCCCCCTGCGTGAGCGGGGCAAGGCCACCCCCACGCCCACCTCCCAGTTTGTCTTCAGCTTCCCGGTCTCAGTGGGCGTGCACTCGACCCCCAGCAGCCTGCCCTACCTGCACAGCCCCATCACCACCTCCCCCAGCTGCTAGAGCCACGCTGGGGACCCCAGTGCCAGAGGTGGCTCTCAGCAAGGGGGGTGGGCAGCAAGTCGGGACTCACCAGCTGGGGGCAGGTGACCAAGCTCCTTCCACATCCATTCCTTCTTGGCCAGCCACGGGCCCAGCTAGAATGGCAATAAGGACTTTGAATACACGTTAAAAGCAAACAAACAAAATACTCCAATTTAGAGCAATAACGGCTGTCTCTGCAGCCAGGGAAGACCTTGGTCTGGTTTATGTTTCAGTTTTGCTTTTCAGATAGAAATTTCTTACCTCATTTTTTTAAGCAGTAAGGCTTGAAGTTATGAAACCCACAGATCCTGGCAAATGTGCCCAATGAGTTTTATGAAGTGGGGAGTAGGGGGGAGGGAAAGGGAAAAGACAAGAAGGAAAGTTTGCCAGAAGTGCCTGGTCCTGTGTGCTGTCTCCCTGTTGTCGTCGTTGTAGTTCCAGGAATTTTGTTTTTTAAGGGAAATCTTCTAGGACATGGTTTCCATTTCTAGGTCACCACCAGGTGAATAATTATGCTTAGTAATAAATAGAAGTATTTATGAAGAATTCCTCAGAGTATGTAAGTACAAGGAGTCTGGTGACAGTGGGTTTAGGACGTTTGTGTTGATGTCAGCAGCGGAGGACGACAGCGTGCAGTCGTCAGCAGTGGGAAGTAAACGGTGTCTTGTGGGCACATACGAGCTGGCATGACGCCAGCCTGCATCTATGGCCATTGAGAAGCAGGCAGGTGGGAGGAGGAAGGAAAGGACGACTTCCTAGTTACTTTTGAAGCTGGTTCCTGGGTACACAGGCCACTGAAGCAATTTTAGACCCCAACAATACAACCTTTTCTCTCTGCTGATGAATTTGGTGGTTGGAGCATTTTTCTCATAGACTTGTGTATCATCTGTAATAAATGCCATATGACATAAGGTGCTCCTAGAAAATTGGGTGCAATTCAGATTTTCCATTTGGCAAAGCCATTGGGGAAACCAGATAACTAGAGACATACCTGAAATGAATCCTTTTGTAAGATGAAGCACCATCTTTTCTCTTTTGCATAATTCAGAGGTTTTAATTTTCGGGGGTTTACTTGAAGTATGCCAATGAATTCTTGCATTCTGAAAATTCCCGGTTAGGTGAGTATTTTCAAAGGCCCTCTTGAATAAAAAGGGGAGTGGACACCACATTTCAGGTCTCCTCGAAGTCCTTTAAGGGCAACAGAGCATCAGCAAGGTGGGGTTGAGGTGGGGTCGGGGCAGACTCTGCTTGGGGGGTGGCCCCAGTAAAATGTGCATCATGGGGCTTGGGAGCTATTCTGAGTACTTACTTGGAATAATGCCATTTTAAGGGGACTTTCCAAATGGAGGAGTGGCTTTGGAGGAAGGAGGATGCGTTTTCTGCGGGGAGGGATGGGGGGCGGGGGGAGGGAACATACGCGTCATTTCGTTTGTAGTGTTGTGGAGCTGTTGTTCTGGAGTGCCAGGTTAGAGGTGAATGCAAACTTGTCTAGCATGAGGGCATGCTTTCTCGCTCTTTTGAGAGTAAATCTAAATGAACATTCTTCCTCACCCATAAATCCCGAGTTTCTCATCTGGCACCGCAGGCAGGACCAGGTTCGTTCCATTTCCTTCCATGAACCCTGAACCTGTGTTGGCATCAGCGGTTCTGCATTTATCAAGCCGTGCCTCTGGGTGAGGCTGGGGTTCCAGCTTCCTGTTTGTAGGAAAGCCAGAGAGGCTCCCTGCTTTCCTGGGAGCTGCTTGGTTGAAGAGTTAAGGGTAAGGCATGGAGGGAGGGGATGGGGTTCCCGAACAATGGACCCATTTAGAGACAGCACAGTTGGACATCCCCACTTTTTCCTTGACTCCTGGAAGTCGCTTCATGCTCGATGAAGAATGAGGTCGAGCGGGTTCTGTAGCTGGAAAGCCACGGGTCCCAACAGCAGGCAGGCGTGGGCAGGGGCTGCGTGAGCGGGCAAGGTGGGCAGCCTGCCGAAGAGATTCACTTTTTATAGAATGAGTGTACATTTGCCAAAAACTATCCTGCTTTTCCAGACTGGATTTCACACGGACAGTCGGAACTCAGGACTAGCTCCAGATGTCTTTTCCCTGCTTCCCAATTCAAGTCTTCTGTGACAGTGTCAAACAGCTATTTATAAAGCCATTTCTTTGTACTTGATAACAGCATGAGTCTAAAAACCCTTAGGAAGAAAATAGGGCATTGGCTTGATTGGCAAAGGGGTTGTTCTCTGTTGTTCTCCCATCAGAAGCTTCTTTGATGACTTGGAATAGCTCTGATGAAGGGTCAGTCCAGAGGACCGATGGGCTTTAATAGGCATCCCTCCCTCCCTCCCACGAAGTGACTTCTGGTGACAGGAAACTTCTGTAATGGCCGGCAAGCATTGCGCCTCTCACTGATGGGCAGCTTTGCTGTTGGCCCCAAAGGGCAGTAGGCTCATTGGGTATTCTGTAGAGCATGAGGAATGCTGCAGGTTCCCCCCCGGAATCCTGTCTGACCCGAGGGTGTTTGTGGAGGAGCCCTAGGGGAAATGGACCAAACTTTCCCACAGAGCAGTGTTAGGCTGAAATGCCAGTGAGCAGGTCGCCAGTCAGTCCAAGTTGTGGTCATTTCCACCTGAAGCCATGTTGCTCAGGTGCTCGTCCCAACTGGACTTCAGAGTTTTCAACAAGGTTGGGAAGGCATGAGAAAAACTTGAAAATCCTCGGGAAGGTGGCAAGAGGTTAGGTAGGAGGGTTGATTGGGATGTGAGGGGAAGGGGCTGGAGACTGGGAGTTGGCCACCAGGCCTACCGTAGGTAAAGCGGTGGTTCACTGTGGCTGCCCATTAGAATCACTTGGGGAGCTTTTAAGACCCTGGTAGCCAGGCTGTCCTAGACAATTAAACCAGAACTTCTGTGGGTGGGCCCCAGGCATCAGTATATTTCAAAGCTCCCCAGGTGCTTTCCATGTGCAGCCAAGGTTGGGAAACCCCTTGCTTTCTGGATGGTGAGGTGCTGTTAGAGGCCGGATTTTGATAGAGCTAGCTTGTCTCGGGTGTGTCACTGGCTCGGCATGGTCTTTGCCACCCCCAGTCCAGCGGAGGGACAAGATACATCCTTTCATGCTGGAAAGCCAACTGATCTGTGGAGCATTGTTAGGGGTCTCAAAACAGTGTCTGGATGTTGATGTTTCTCCTTGAAAGTTTCTTGTCCATCAAGAAAGATGGAGAGTGTCTCCCCTTGGAAGGTTTCCCTTCCCCCCAGTACCCTGCCCTTCCTTAGCGTTCATGAGTCATTCATGGAAGAGACTTCTTAAAGACGATAATGCAATACGTGTAACTTGTGTAAATAGCCCCATCTTTCAGAGTGATGTCATTTCTACATTTGATATGCCTGTATTTCTGTAGGATGTATATAGTTTAGGGGATTTTTGTTTGATTTAGTTTTTTAGAAAAGTCAACGTGTCTGTTTTTATTTATTGCTTGAAAATGATCATTTGAAGAAAAATAAATACATTTTCAACCACCTCTGACTTGGTTTAACCTTTCCTTGAAAACTATCCTGCTACTATGACTTGGAAGGGAAGAAAAGCAGACCTGGGTCATTTAATAATCTTACCCACTTAGTAGCATCTGCAGTGGAGACTGGCTGCTAAAATCGGCAAGCCCATTCTTGCTGCCCGAACATTATTCAAGTCAGGTGAGAGAAGGCTGATCCTGATCTCTCAGAGCCTGATTTCTGCAGGCTGCTGTTCTTCAGGCTGCAGATAGGGAAGAATTGAACAGTAAGAGACAGGGAGTGTCCATCTGATAATCTGCTATGTGCCAAGCACAGGATATGAAGATAATGATGGCTCCCCAGTGCGGAGGGCAATCTTAAAGAGCCTAAGCACGAGATCAGGGCTGTCACAGAAGAACGCATAAGGAATCACACTACTGGGACACCCCACCCCATTGATAACAAGGAGGTCCAGCCTGGCTCCCAGAGTCTCAGAAAATTTTACTGACCTCATACTCTTTTAGGGTCATAGAAATAAGCAGTATGTTTTAACGCCACATTGAAGAGATAAGCTGATAAAAGTTATATAAGTTAGTGGTTCCCCAAAGCTGATCTGTGCAATGCTTGTATCAGATTCCATTGGTAGGAATTTCCCAAATTGAAAACCAAAAGCATTAATAAACATGCATTTGCACTGTATCATCATGATTTAACATTATTTGGGAAGCACCAGCCAATGCAATGAGCAAGTGAAAGAAATGAGGCATACAATTTGGAAAGTGGGAGGCCAAATTATTTGCAGGTTATGTGTGTCTGGAGAATAAGAGGGAATCACTGAAAGACTACCAGAAATAAGAGAATTCAGTAGGGCTGGCCCTGTGGCACACTCGGGAGAGTGCAGCGCTGGGAGCGCAGCGACGCTCCCGCCACAGGTTCGGACCCTATATAGGGATGGCCGGTGCGCTCACTGGCTGAGCGTGGTGCGGATGACACCACACCAAGGGTTGTGATCCCCTTACCGGTCACGAAAAAAACAAACAAACAAAAAGAATTCAGTAAGTGGTTGGCTATAAAATTAATACGAAAAGTCAATAGCTGTCATATGAAAATATCACTTAAAAATAAACTAGAAGTAGAAGACCCCATTTACAATAGCAATTGAAAATAACCACAGTAAAATTTATCAGAAATAGATACATGGATATGATGGACAAGGTATAAAGCTCTGCCAACGGACGTATAAGGACATGTGGAAAGGCAGAAGGACACGCTGTGATCTTGTATAAGACCCAGTATTGAAAAGATACGATTTCTCGGGCCGGCCCGGTGGCGCACTGCTACAGTGCGCGGCTTGGGAGCGCAGTGGCGCTCC